ATGTCTCTTTCACTGCGTTGCAAGCTTCTGACTGAAATTAAAATCCTCTGCAAGGGTATAAAAACTACTTTTAATATCGGCACGCTGCTTTGAAATTTTAGAGTAACAAGGCTAGTTTGATCGTGAGCTCCGTCGTCTTACTTGCACAACTTTTGTATGGGAAATCGCTGTGTGCGCACCCGAAAACAGGTGTAACTCAAATCTTGGTTAAAGTTGTCACTTTTTTTTGATCATGTTTTAAATGAATCAATGCTATATTTTTGATAAATGAAACATCTGTAGCTGGTCCAGGAAACTTTCAAAAAAGCAATTTAGCAAACAAGGAAATATATTTAAGCAGTAACTGCTAAAGAAATCATCAAAAATGGCACCTTCCAATCAGAATTTATTAAATAAGTAGGTGAATTTAAAATATAAATTGACTAAAGTTGACTTTTTGAACCACTGTAACTGCCGTAAAACTTCGAAATTCTCAAAACTGGCCCAAAAAGTAGCATGAAAATTGGACCTCTTAGTAAAAGGCTGCCCACTTGGCAGATTTTCAGTCATTAGTGTGGTTAGATTTGAATTTCTTAACTTAAGGGTCTTCATTAAAATACGGTTAAAAGTAATGCGACAATGTACACAACATTGTTATAACAGCACATCTCGGGGGAATGCATAATAGGTTAAATTAATTTGTGTTCCGTACTCGCGGTTTCATTAGTGTACTATTTGTGTACCAATGCATGAAATGATTACAAATTACAATCTCAATAAGAGCTCCCTCTAATGGCTGGAATACCTTAATATGCCCTTCAATCTTACTACAAGCTACCTGTAGCATACACATAAACATATATTTTTAGTGAAGTTAGTTAGTAAAATCAACCTGATTCTCAAAGTTCTGTTTGCCCCTTCGCACAGCACGACACTTTGTCAATTTATCGGGCGAACCCTTTGTTTAATCCTAAACCTATTTTATAAAAATAGAAATTAATAAAAGTTTTTAGGCCTAAGACAAAGCTTAGAATAGTCAACTTTGTGGCAATTAAGTAATATGCTAAATTAAATGCTTTAATAATAGATTACATGCATTTTTTCCTTAGTGTACGGTACATTCAGGCACATATTAACATACACACACATATCAACGAGCTCGTACCTTTTAAGGCATTTGCATGCAGAAGCGATTTATTGGTTTGAAAGAGTGTGTGAGTGTGTGAGTGTGTGAGCAATTGTTGTAGTTCATGCACACTGAACCTCAAGTGACATGTGTTGGTGCTGTGTGTGTGTACCCGTGTGCAATTGCACGCACACACAGCATTTAAGTTGTCATCAGAGCCGGAGTTACTATTAAATAGGTATAATGCAGTTGGGAAAACGCATTTCGGATAATTGTCCAGTCGAGTCGAGCAGGGTAATTACTCGGTTTACATTGTTAGTGTTCTATTTTACCATTTGTTGTCATCGCAGTAATTTTTAGCTCTCCGGCAGGCAGCACGAAACGCTTCGTAGCCAATAAATAGCCTCGGTAAATATGTTATATTCGAGTTTTGCATGTATACCTACTCACGTTGCGTACAGTTTTCAATGGTTATTTGAGTTATTTGCAGTATTAATTATTATTTTCTACAATAGTCTTATTTAAATTTGCCATATCGTAGACAGAAACTGAAGAGCAGTCGAAACTGCGGCAAAAGCGGTACACATTTAGGTGCTCTGATCCATACGAACATACGAACAGAGATCGCAAAAGCGCTATGTGCTGGATAAGGGTGGCGGCGAGGGAAGGTACAATCACCAAGTACAATACACAATCGGTATGTCTGTGATTGTGTTCGGTTCTTTTTTAAAAATTTTTTTACTAAGAAATCGTCTTTTGTTCTCAGAGATCCAGCATAAAAAGTTGCGAATATAAAACAAAAGTGTCACTTGCCGAGGGTCCGGAGGTACCAGACGATGTCCGAGGTTGAGCTTGCATTGTTATTCCCTTTGTCGCTGACGGGGTTTGTGTTGATTCGTTTTTAGGAGTATTTATTCATGTATGTGTACATATATATACGGCCGTTTGATTCCGCCAGAGCCCCACAATCATTCATTTCGGTAAGATCAATGAATCGATACGATATACCTGGGGAGGCACAGAATCGCGACAAAAAGGAAGCCACAAGGCGAAAGCTAAGCGGTATGAGTTCCCGTTCCCGTTCCCGTTCCCGTTCCCGGGATCGAGACGAGATCACAAAGTTTCAGTTGATGAACTGTTTTTGAAATTTACCAAAGGAGTACAGAAAAAACCAATAAATTTACTTTTCAGCCTTCATTAAAATTGTCGCCGATTGTTTCGCCGCATGAATATGTTAATTTTGAGCTCACCAGACATATGAAACCAAAAAACGTTTAACAAGGTAACGACTGGAGACGAAATTAGGGCTAAGGTACGTTCAACGAACATTGTTAAGGGAATTGTTTATAATTTCCTAGGTAATGCACTTAACAAGGCAATCATTTTACAATGCTCAATTATGATTATTATTAATTTTGATTTAAAAACTTTTTCGAAAAGAGCGGTAATATCAAAAATTCAAATTTGCAATACTTTGATTATTCTTAATTTACTCAAATAAATACTCCGTGCTCGAATTTCTCTGAAGCTCAAACTAAATCATCACATTGTCTTAAACGGGACGTAATATTTACTTGGATGGATGACAGTATGTGTTCCTTAGGATCGGTAGTGTTCATTTCTAATTCGGGATACATTTTTAGTATTTTTAAGCTGAGAAAATCCAGATGTGATATTGTATACTTAAAATGAGAAAATTCAAATTTGGTGCACAAAAATCTATAAGGGTTAAAAAATTTGTAACGATAGTTTTGAATTCGAAAATTACATTAAATAAATGGCGTTAAGCGAAGTTCTAGTTTAAGACTGCATATTTCTGGACCCTTTTTTTATTGCGTACAAACATATTTTCCACAATGGAAGCCAAATTCGGCAAGCGAATTTATTTACCCTTGAAGTTTAAATATCCCTCAAAATAACTGTATTCAAATCAAACGAAAATCAGAGCAGTTATTTATTTTTATACCCTTGCAGAGGGTATTATAATTTCAGTCAGAAGTTTGCAACGCAGTGAAGGAGACATCGCCGACCCTATAAAGTATATATATTCTTGATCAGCATCACTAGCAGAGTCGATCTAGCAATGTCCGTCTGTCCGTCCGTTTCTACGCAAACTAGTCTCTCAGTTTTGAATCTATCTGCATAAAACTTTCCCAAAAGTTGTCTTTCTATTGCAGGTAGTATATAAGTCGGAACGAGCCGGATCGGACGACTATAGCATATAGCTCCCATAGGAACAATCGAAAAAATAAATAAAAAAAATTATAACTTTGCTGTTTTTTAATTTTTTGTTTAGTTCTTGGACATTTAGTAATGGTTAAATATTTCCGATTTACGGTTTAAATTATATCAAAATCGGACGACTATAGCATATAGCTCCCATAGGAACAATAAAAATATATAAAATAACTACCTAATAATTGAGCTTCAAGTTTTTAAACACATACGCAAGTAAATCATAATTTTAATGTTTTTAAAAATATTTAATTCTTGCAATAGCTGCAAGGGTATATGAACTTCGGCTTCACGAAGTTTGCTTTCTTTCTTGTTTTTATTTATTTTTTTATTTTTCCGATTGTTTCTATGGGAGTTTTTAAAAAAAATCATTCTGAAATTTTAAAGCGTTTCTATATCTTGAAGAACTTAAAAAAATAGAAAAACAGCGAAATTATAGTTTTGTTCATTTATTTTTTTTCGTTTGTTCTCATGGGAGCTATATAAACTTTTGACTGAATTCATAACAACCTCTGCAAGGCTATTAATACACTGATCAAAAAAATGGAATAGTACAAATAAATATATGGTAATTAAAAGCCAAAATTTATTATACCATATTTAAATAAAATATTACACCATAATGTTAATTACAATGCACATTAGAATGCATGACTTAATATTAAAATATTTTAATTAATGTGAAAAATGTGATTTAAAATAGTTCCTATTTGATTTAAATACATATATACTAAAATCAATTCCAAAATGTAATGTTTTCATATTTAAAATAACTAAATCGTTATGGTCTATGACTAAAATGTCTTGGATTTAATATTTTAAAAATTAGGTGTCAATATAAAGAAATTCTAAACAGCGATATTAAAAAAATGTGTAAATATACTAAAAATTCGAAGGTATCAGGTCAACTTAAAGATCAACCATAAGACAGACCCTTCGATTTAAACAAAATGAGGCTGTGTTAAAGTAAAGGTCGGCTCACAATTTGAATCCATGAATTCATAAATAACAATGACCAGCAGCACACAGGATGAAAATGAGGATTTCCACGGGGATAAGGATTTTGAGTCAAAGACCCAGTAAGGCCATCTGAGAAGAAGTAAAACAGCAATAATAAAACGAATTTATGCACTGAAAACACACACACGCATGTATACAATATCAAAAGGGGACAAAAACAAAGCTGAAGAAAAATGTATTGTATTTTATTAAGGGAATTGTTTTCTTTGCCTCATTTTTCTCGGAACAAAGTGATGTATGAGCTCCATAGGCCAAAACACAATACGGATCTTGCGAGACGAGACTGCTACGGAGTCGCAATTGGATTGGGGATTGTGGATTGTGGTCCAGGCTGCTTGGAACAGAAGCAAAGGCGGACGGGTCGAGCTGTTAAGCCGTTAAATCGAGACGACAGTGTTTGGGTGAGCACTATGTAACTATGGGAGCATACAGTCTCAACGTGAGTTTGCAGACCGGCAGCACCACTGTTAGGGCCAAGAAAAAAGAGTTCGAGAAGGAGAAATAAAACAACAATGACCAACTACATATTTTGAGGAATAAAAGATGATCGGAAAAGAAGTTTTAGGAAATATGTGAAAGGTTTGAATTTTGGTTAATTGGAACACGCGAACTAAAGTACTAAGTAGACTGTATAACTTACCAATTTACTGAGTCAATGGCATGATTACCCCTCAAAGGATTTGAAGTTTACTGAAAGGGAGAAGCAAACATTTCACAGTTAATCATTTGATCATGCAGGCGGAAAGGCCATAGCATTGTTTTCTAAATAAAGTGTTTTTATCTAATGTGCTTATAAAACCCATTGGACATCTCTTCTACCTGCGAACCTCATTGCATCGAATCTGTGTGTCCTTGTACTCCATGAGTAGCGGTAAAAATAACAACGCATCATCGTTCATCGCCCCGACACCGTCGAGTCTATTGATCACGTCATTCATCTCTGGGTAAGAAGATTAAAAACCCAGCAGAAAATTGAAATTGTTTGTTAGTACCAAAGGTAGAATACCTGACCGCTAACTGTGATCAAATCGCGCAGCCATTAATTATTGTGTTCACGTAATTGGCCCTTTTTAAAACTGTCACAAATAATACCTATAAGTAGAATAGTTCGCAAATGATCTCATGTTTATATGCGCAAGAGCAGGAGACATCGGGGCAACCACTTTGGCAACGCACAATCTAAGGGTCAATGTCCAAAAAATGTCATCGATACATGCATATGTATAAGTGTACACTCGGAATTGTGAGTTTTAACGCACAAAACACAGAGCGTGTTAAACTATTTCAAATTCACAGAGCATCTCAGCCAGCGTTTCTTTCAGTTGGGAAAACACGGGCAGAGTGAAGGCAGGGTGAAGGCAGGGCACGTACTTTGGCAGTGACACCCATCGTGACAAACGTACGTCGCGAGGCAGTTTCACCAAGCTAAAAATCAGCTCGCCAACACCAGACACGTACTTATGTATGTACTATACACTAACCGAGTTATTTTCGTTACACTTAATACCCTTGCAGAGGTAACTATATTGTTTTACAAGCTGGAAACGCGTCGAAGGAGACGTCTTCAGTTGCCGATAGTAACAACATTGACTTATAATTTGCCTACAACAGCTACACAGAGAGAACTCTTACGTTCTCCTGGATTTCAAATTAATTTAAGAACAAGAAAATAACTCAAGAAAAACGTAATGGAATTGGCCTATTTAAAATTATTTTATCAGGAGGAAGTTTTATTAAAACTACTCTGTCTAGGTTCAGAAGCAAATCCCCAAATAAAAAGTGAGAGACTAGTCTGCGTAGTCTGTAGTAGGAAAAAACAAAATAAATCGACTTAGCTTCGTTGTTTCTTCACATATACGCACACAACGTTTTCAACAATTTAAAAATCACATTTCAAAGTTTATAAAAACGCTGTCATCGAACTATTTAACAATTTTTAAAAATTGACACCTTGTTTTTAAGCATTTACGCATAAAATTCGATACAAAGTAGTTTTAGGGAATACTACATTTACCCGTACCTGCAAGGGTATACCTTTTTATACCAGTTTTTCGTAAAGTAAAAGGGTATATTGTCTTTGTTAAAAAGTATGTAACAGGTAGAAGGAAGCGTTTCCGACCCTATGAAGTATATATATTCAAGGATCAGTAGCCGAGTCGATCTTGCCATGTCCGTCTGTCTGTCTGTCCGTCGGTCTGTCTGTCTGTCCGTCTGTATGAACGTCGAGATCTCGGAAACTAGAGATTTGGAATTTGGAAGTGCAGATTCTAGTAATTCCTACGCAGCGCTAGTTTATTTCAAAACGCGCCCACTAATCGGGAAAGTCTGTTAAAAATTTCGAGTAATCGAATTGAGGTAATATTTTGGAAGTTCTTTAGTTATTAATTTGGTTTATTATGGCGGTCTATTTAGTATGAAATTTGTTAGCTGAGTATCGGGTATCTAAATGCCGGAAAACTCGACTATAACGTTCTCCCTTGTTTTAAGATGAATTATTATTTTTTAACAAAAGTGATATCTTGAAAATGATATCATCATCATCATCAAATTTTAATCAAATTTTTCTATTTAGTATTTAATACAAAAGTCTCAGAAAATCTTTAAAATGAATAAAGCGACAGAACAGAAAATGTTAATTCTAAATGGTGTCTTATCCTAAGATTAGTACTATATATTCCTCACCTAGAAACTAAAGCTGAACTTATCTCACCTACTCTTGAGTGCACACTTTTTCCTCTATCCTTGTTAGTAATTAATATAACTATTTTTCGGGTTTCTTCTTTGCCATAATCTTATCGACGTGGTTTTTGTGACTACGACCGATTCAAACCAGTCGAGGAAGACCCGAAAGCAGTGGAAACAATGGAAGCGGTATAAACGCAGCGGAAGTTGTCGAGACGCTTCTTTTACTCATAATTAAAAGTGATTATTGCTGAAGGAGATTGGTCATATAAATTAGGGTGGACCTCTTCAATTTTATTAGCCATGACTTTGGGATGCCAAAGTTTGACTCTCTTCTTGGTTTTAGTTATTTTTATTTTGTAATTTTTTTACATTTTTTTGACAGTTCAGAATTACGGTTTTAATTTTATTCAAATCGGAAAACGATATTATATAGCTGCCATAGGAACTATCGAATAATTAAGCTGCAAATCATCATATCTTAAATGTTTTTAAACATATGCGCAAATAAATCATAATATTAATGTTTTCAGGAACATTTAATTTTTGCAATAGCTGCAAGGGTATATGAACTTCGGCTTGCCGAAGTTTGCTTCCTTTCTTGTTAATATCGCGATTGTTTCCATGGGAGCTATATGCTGTAATCGACCGATTTTAATGAATTTTAAACCGTAATTCTAAAATAATAATAAAACAAGAAAGAAAGCAAACTTCGGCAAGCCGAAGTTCATATACCCTTGCAGCTATTGCAAGAATTTAACATTTTTGAAAACATTAAAATTATGATTTACTTCGTATATGTTTAAAAACATTGAAGCTATGATGATTAGCAGCTCAATTATTTGATAGTTATTTTATATATTTTCTATTATTTCTATGGGAGCTATTCATATAGCCGTCCGATTTTGATAAAATCTAAACCATAATTCTGAAATATGTAACCATTGCTTTATGTCGAAGAACTGAACAAAAAATAAAAAAACAGAAAAGTTATAATTTTTTCATTTATTTTTCCGATTGTTCCTATGAGAGCTATATGCTATAGTCGTCCGATTTTGATATAATTTAAACCGTAAATCGGAAATATTTAACCGTTACTAAATGTCGAAGGACTAAAAAAAAAATTAAAAAACAGCAAAGTTATAATTTTTTTCATTTATTTTTCCGATTGTTCCTATGGGAGCTATATGCTATAGTCGTCCGATCCGGCTCGTTCCGACTTATATACTACCTGCAATAGAAAGACAACTTTTGGGAAAGTTTCATGCAGATAGCTTTAAAACTGAGAGACTAGTTTGCATATAAACGGACGGACAGACGGACAGACGGACGGACAGACGGACATGGCTAGATCGACTCTGCTAGTGATGCTGATCAAGAATATATATACTTTATAGGGTCGGAGATGTCTCCTTCACTGCGTTGCAAACTTCTGACTGAAATTATAATACCCTCTGCAAGGGTATAAAAAATTAAAAACGGCATAGATATAATTTTTTGTCATTTATTTTTCCGATTTTTGCTATAGTCGACCGATCCGGCTCGTTTCGACTTATGTACTACTTGCAATAGAAAGACAACCTTTTATAAAGTTCCATGCAGACAGCTTTTAAATTGAGAGACTATTTGAAACTGACGGACAGACGGACATGGTTAGATCGACTCTCCTAGTGATGCTGATCAAGAATATATATACTTTATAGGGTAGGAATGTCTCCTTCACTGCGTTACAAACTTCTGACTGAAATTATAATACCCTCTGCAATTGTATCATCTGCTTAATCATTTTCGGTCATTAACAGCAAATATGAAATGAACAAATGTTTAATAGCACGTCCTCAAAGTTTGAAGTAACTTATTTTAATTTTTTTTTTTAATCTATGCTTTAAGATTTCAATGTCAAGATTTCAAGTAAATCGAAATAAAACTGAAAAAGTTACTGCGGATGAAGCGATTTAGTAAGTATGTTATTAATTATATTTTCGGTTAAGGATATTTTTTCGTTGATTTTCCCACAAATGTCATATGTGAAGATATGACATTTTATTTAAGGTGCCTATCTATATAACATGTGTAAAAAGTAAGTTGCACAACAAATTCGACATTTTGAAAAATATAAAACATTCCTTTATTGGGCTTTTAAAACTCATGTTATTAGAATTTTTATTTACTATCCTAGCGGCAAGTATACAGTTATTTTTATATAGCTGGTCACAGTTGGTTGCATTTTCAAATGGTTTTAACAATTACAAATTTAGAACATACTTATACTTATATTTTCAAAATTTGATTAAACTTAAATGATTATTTCAATTCAATTGCTGAAAATTTAGAAGAAAATGTTTACTGCTAAAAATGTCAAATTTCAAATTGTATATTCAAATAGCCGTTACGCCTGCACAGAGAAAATTAATCAAGTCCACTCAATCTGAGAATATTCGTACTCAAAAAAAATCAAAGGCCAAAATTCTCACTTTTAGTCCATTTTACTCAGTTTGAGTACAAATTTTCAAGAATGCAAAAACTTAAATTGAGTGCATATATGTTTTTTTCAAGTAGAAAATGTAACTAACATTTTCTTTAAATTTTATTGTTTGTTTTACATACATATAGAATTTAATTTGAGCACTAGCGTCGGATTTTGTTGTCCACTTGTGGAGCTAAATTTATTCTTTGTAAACATAATACATCATAATTAAATGTTGTACATATTATTATTTATTTACGTTTTAAATGAAGTCATTTTAGTTACGAAATAGTTTTATTTACCTTTCGCATTCTAGATGTAAGCCTTAACCACTCGTCCACGCACTATTCTCTTTGAATAGGTTAATTCGTATTCGTATAGCCTCAGTTTAATGATTTTTTTTAATGAGTACAAATATTCTTAATGTGAGTTCTTGGGCAAAATCTGTACTCAAAATGAGTATATCCTCAAGTTGAGAATTCAAATTCTTAATTTCTGAACGTCAGAATTTTCTGTGTGCTATATATTAACTCAGTTTTTT